GCAAGGGTTATTAATTTTGTTATTGCTGGTTTTACAAGTATGGGATCATATCATACATATTACTCTTATCTTATTTTCACTCAGTGAAATCCCTACAGAAAACCCTTCTATTCATTTGGTATAAATCTAATTCGTAATTTTATATAGCAGCACAATATTTCACAGGGTGAATATACCATAAAGTATTTAGTGATTTTGCTACTGACTGAGCATTAACTTTGTGTCTAGTTTTTAGCCACAAAGACAATGATGCAGTAAGCATTCTTTTATTTGTCTTTCTGTACTGATGCTTTCATTTTTGTGGGATAGATTCCCAGAAATGGAATTTCACAGAAGGAAATGCGTATTTTGAATTTGAATACAGGATGCCAGATTCTTTCCTAAAAATTTCTATGACCAATGAACAAGGAACAGCAACACATATTATAAAATGTCTAAAATTTTTGCCAGTCTGATTAGTAGAAACTACTATTTCACTTTAATTTTGTATAGCAAAATTAAATTCTTAGAAAAGTTTCAACCCTTGTACTTAGAAAAGTTTACCTTTCTAATAAAGTACAATCTAAAATTTCTCAAATGATATGCTACTGAAAACTATCTAATCTATCTGCTAGCCTATAACAGGCAAGAGTTTCCTACATGTATTTCATAGGCCTTTTATTAGAACTGATTATAGGCAGCCTCAGGATGGCTACTAAATCATTTCAATAAGTACAATGAGAAGGATTCTAAAGTTTAAAAATATTCCTCTTAGACAGTGTGGCCAAGAGTTGTATTTCAATACTCATCCAAACAATCATTTCAACCAATACATTGTGGCACATTCCAAGAATACAAAGATTTTTTGAATCCTTCCAGTGAGGCAGCCTATGTGACTGGCAACCCTAAGCAAGGTTTGACCAACAAGGCAGCCTGTGTGGTCAGTATTATCACTACCAAGTGTGTATGTCAGAGATGATGATATTAAAGAAAATAAAAATTAAAAATTCCTCGATACACAGCAAAAAGAATAAAATCTTAGGAATAAATTTAACCTAGGAGGCAAGATTTGTACACTGAAAACTACAAAATGTTGTTGAAAGTAATTAAAGATGCTCATAAATAGAAAGACATCCCACATTCAAGGATTGGAAGAGTTAATACTGTTAAGATGTCAACAATACCCAAAGCAGTCTGTAGATTCAGCGTAATCTCTATCCAAAATCTCAGTGATATTTTTTGTGGAAACAGAAAATACTAAAATTCACGTAGAATCTTGAGGGACCCCAAATAGTCAAAACAGCCTTGAAAAGGAAGAACAAAGTCGTAGAACTCACATGTTCTAATTTCCAACTACAAAGCTATTGTAATCAAAACAGCATGCTACTTGGCATGGAGACAGACATACAGACTAACGGAACAGAACAGAGAGCCCAGAAATAAATCCTTACTATATAGTATATAGTCCAATGATTTTTGACAAAGGTGCTGAGACAATTCAATAAAGAAAGGACCTTCAATAAACGGCAATGAGAAAACTAGATAATACACATGCAAAAGAATAAATTAGACCTTTAATTTTTCTTTAAATTTGAAAATTTCTACAATTTTTTAAAATATTGACAAGTAAAAGTCTATTGTAATAAACTAACGGATTAGGGATAAATGCCTAAATAGGGTTCAATATTTAATGACCAGCTGTATGTAAAATCTGAAAAAAGAAGAATCTAGAAGTACTCAAATTTATGGCAAATCAGATTCTACTCAGTGGGTTAGGGAATGAAGACCAGTTCATGAATCTGAGGTATCTGTTGAATATTTTGGAAAAGATGTCTAGAAGGTAGATATATATATATAAGTGTGATGTTACAAAGAAGTCTGGTTTCGGTATATAGTTTTGGAAGTCGTTATGGAAATTGTCTCTGCCCCCTCCCCTGCCCCCAGTTCAAAAGGTGAAGTCCTAATCCCCAGTACCTCAGAAGGTGACCATATTTGGAATTAAGTCTTTAAAACGGTAATTAAATTAAAGCGATGTCATTAGGGTGAACCTTACCCCATTATAACTGACATCCTTATACAAAGAGATACAAATGGGTGACCATGTGAAGACATGGGGGAAAAAATGGCAATCTATAATCCAAGAAGAGAGGGCTTAGAAGAAAACAACACCTTGATCTTGGCCTTCTAGCCTCCAGAATTGTGAGAAAATAAAGTTCTGTTATTTAAACCAACCAGTCCATGGTACTTTGAGATGGCAGCCCTAGCAACCTAACACAGAAGTCATTAATCCATATATAACACATAAAAACAGAAGCAGAAAATATAATTCAAGAATAGCATTTAGAGTAAGAAGCAAAAAGAAGTGAGTAGTCCCCCGGAGAACACCAATATTTTAACAGCAGATTATGAATAGCCTTTGAGATGCTCAATATAATGCTCAATATAGAGGCAATAGGATACACAGTTGGATACAAATTAAAATCACAATTGTATAATACACCTATCAGAAGTGCTAAAATTACCTCATCTTAAAAAACTAGAAAAGGAAGAGCAAATAAGGCCTAAAGTGAGCAGGAGAGAAATCGTCAAAATTAGAGCAGAAATAAATGACATTGAAAACAAAACAAACAAACAAACAAAAAACAGTAGAAAAAATAAATACAACAAGGAGCTGGTTCTTTGAGAAGGTTAATAAAATTGACAAACCCCTGGCTAGACTCACTAAAGAAAAAAGAAAAAGGACACAAATAAACATAGTCAGGGATGAAAGAGGGGAAATTACGACTGACATCGCAGAAATACAAAGGATTATGCAAGAATACTATGAAAAAGTATATAATAACAAATTTAATAACCTAAAAGAAATGGACCAGTACTTAGAAAAATACAATCTTCCTAGACTGAATCAAGAACTGGAAAATCTAAATAGACCGATCAGCAGTATAGAAATTGAAATAATCATCAAAAACCTACCAAAAAGTAAGAGTCCAGGACCCGAGGGCTTCACCAGTGAATTCTACCAAACATTCAAAGAAGATTTAGTACCTATTCTCCTCAAATTCTTCCAAAAAAATCGAAGAGGAGGCAATACTTCCCAACTCATTTTATGAGGCCAGTAATACTCTGATACCAAAACCTGGTAAAGATAACACAAAAAAAGAAAACTACAGACCATGAACACAGATGCAAAAATCCTAAATAAGATACTAGCGAACCAATACAAAAGTGCTAAAATTAAAAGACTACTAGGTGGTAGTAAGGATGTGGAACAATGGTGGACATTGTCATGAATATAGTAATTACAACCAAGAATGAGGAGAGTTAAAAGAAAGGAGATAGAGGAAGAGGAGAAAAGGGAAGGGAGACATATATGGAAAAAGAGGGTACGATCCATACAGAATACCATATACAGACATATATATAGCATAGAGAAATGCAGGCTTTCATAACAGAAAGTTATCTACTAATTGAGTGTTATAACTACTGATTTTTAAGCCATCTATTTCTCAACTAAGGCAAAAACATAGTCTTGGTCAGACAAGTCAAGAGGCAACATACAATCTATGTAGCCCTTATATAAATAAATATCTAAAATAACTTTTCCAGTAGGTAAGTTTCATTAAGAAACAATTTACAGTTTTTGCTGTGCATCTAAGACAGTGTCTATGAGGATGAAATATAGCAATAATGTCTCTCTCTATAATCAAGACTACTACACTCTAATGTGAGACAGTTCTGTTTATCTATAATAATAAAATAAGCATGAAATAATGTATATAAAAAAGAAAACTGAGATAGCTTCCTAATACTGATGGACTTTAGACAAAATCAAGAAGGCTAAATGGACACAGCCTTTGGATACGAATGAGCCAGCGCTGGCATCAATAAACGCTGCTTCCTGCTTATAAAAAAAAAAAAAAAAAGGCTAAATGGAACTTGTAATTCTTCTTGTGATCATTGAATTCATTTGCCAGCGATCTGTTTACAAAAATATAAACCTAAAGATAAGAATCTTACTTTCAGGAGTTTCTTTTTGCCATTGACTGAGTTCAGCAGTTAAACATTTCACTTGCATAATTAACAATGACAGCTATAAAAAAAAAAAGAACAAGAGAATAAAACAAAATCATTTCTTGTGGAACATTTATAGCAACTCATAGATGAAAGTGTAGACAGTCTTAATATTTTAATACAAAGTCTTAACATAAACGGCTAATATGACATAACATAAAAAATTACCACTCCAAATTCTTCTTTAAACAACATTATAGCTCAGAGATTGCCTGTTGTACCAGTGATATAGTATTAAAAAATGATCAATTCTACTTCATTCAACCTAAATAAAAGAAACTAAGTATATTAAATTTATTCCCTAAATTAATATTTCTTTAAAAAAATAGGATGTTATTTCTTGCCAACACTTTTTAGACAAATTTGCTTTAAAGATTCTCCTTTTTCAGTCTACGGCCAAGCCACCCTGAACGTGCTCGATCTCGTCTGATCTTGGAAGCTAAGCAGGGTCGGACCTAGTACTTGGATGGGAGACCACCTAGGAATACCAGGTGCTGTAGGCGTTAAAAAAAAAAAAAAAAGATGCTCCTTTTTCTCTCTATGCACTGTTGGAAAAATTGCAAATGTTTTTAGCTGAGAAGCTAAAAATAACTTTAAATACATAAATAGAAACAATTATAAAATGAGACTAGTTCCAAAGCCACACATGAAAAAGTTTTGCTCCTCAATAGTTAATAAATTGTGTACCCCTTTAGCCAAAGATAAATTAGGATGAATATGTTTCTGATATTAGGTGGCTCCAATCACTGTAATTTTGATCATTACAAATCTATGTGATAAATCTGTAGCCTGATTAGACCATAAAGTTAAAGTATACTTAAAGTTAAATTTCAGAACATATTTTATCTTCTCTATATAATTATTGGTAGCCAAAGAGATAAAAAATTTCACATTTCAAAAATGTGAGTATTACTATAATATTTACACTAAAAGGATACTACTGTCTTTTTTAAGCAATTTTTGTGATACAGAGCAGGTAGCTCAAAGACTCGGCTCTGTATTTTATATATAACATTGCCTGTTGAATAGTCTAATTTTTGAAAACTTTATATAATTATATAAAAATGCATTTACAGGTGTTTACATTTTTTACCGAGAGTTTAACATTATTTTCTTATAATTAACAATATGAAAGTTTTTTGTTAACTATAAAGTAATTTATATTAAATATTATTACTAAGAAAGGATATCAAATTCTTAAGAAGCAGTTGCTAAACTAGGCAAAACTATCATAATGATAAGGAATCCATATCACTTTTCCTCCATATATTAGGTCGAAATATATAAAATTACTGATATTCATTTTTTAACCTATTAAAAAACAGTAATTTCATACAGTTCAATCTCAAAGCTCAGCTAAGGCAAACACTCAAATTATTTCTGGTCTTGCTATAAAACTAACCCTTTCTAAAAAAAAAAAAAAATAGCAGCAGTATTGCTAAAGTTATTTAAACATCAAAATTTGAGAAATCCTGCCATTTTCTCATTTAAAATATTTAACTTCTTGCTTTAGAAAAAGAATTTTATTGAAGTTTTGAAGTTAATAGGTATGCAGAAAAGAATTAACCAAGTAAGTCTGAGATTATCCTTAACGGCCTTCTTGCAAGGTTGACCCTGGGCTGGCATCTAAAAATTTGGATTTTTGAGATGGTTCCCAACCTAACTGATAAGAGTGGCTCGCTGTGCTTAAATTGTTTGTGCAAAGAATATGACTGACACTGAACACCTGCTTTCCTTCTGGGAGCATTTTGACAACTGCTAGGTAGAGGATACCTACGTTACTACCCCCACAAATAATCTTAGGCACCGAGCCTCTAAGGAGGTGCCCTGGTAGACATTTCACACTTGTCACAACTCACTGGAGGAATTAATTAAGCATGTCTTGTGTGACTCCACTGGGCGGGACTCTTAAAAGTCTGTGCCCTGATTTCCTCTGTACTTCACCCCATAGCCTTTTCTCTTTACTGATTTTACTCTGTAACCTTTAAATGTAATAACTCTCAGCCATGAGTATGACTAACATACTGAGTCCTGTAAGTCCTCCTAGAGAACCAGCAAACTGGGAGTAATCTTGAAGACCCTCAAAATGACAAGAAAAGGCATTTTGTGCATTCATTAGGTGTTATTATTGACTAACTCAGGATATTGATTATTTATACTACTTAAGTACTTTGTACAAGGCCAGTGTTTGGCTTACTACATGAAAATCATTCAGGAAACGTACAGTCCCTATCCCCAGTGATCTAATTCAGTAGGTCTCAATTTCTACACTTTAAGAACCACATTTACCAAGGAAAACAGATGATGGCTTATTTACTGTATAATGCTTTTCTAAATATAATATTGTTTTATCTTGTATAAAAGAGCTCTATATTTACTGAGAATACAAAATTTTTTTAAAAGATGGCTTTATTCTTTATCACCAGTTTTTAAAGATTTGATGTAACAGGTACTTCCAAAAGTGACAAATTAGTTTTTTCCGCTTTTCTTCTCTCATTCTAATTTTTATTACTACGCTCATAGACTATAACTTGTTTATATTGTTATAATTAATTAAACCCATTATGTCTTTTGATGCTCAAGTGATACTTTCAATTGGTTTCTTGTCTTCTGATATGCTCCCACCAGTTCTGGAGAACTTTCACCGGAATCATTTATATATCTGACTTTGTTCTTAGAATTTTTATTACTAAAACATTTCTACTAATAGCCACTAGACTGTCACTAGATTGCAGTCTCCTTGCTTTTCTTGTAAGAGTTTTATGACAATTCATCTAGAATTTAAATTTATATAATGAAAGATGGAGATTGGATTTTATTTTCTCCCAGATAGATGCTACTTGTACTACTATCATTTATTAGCTAATTCATATCTTTCCCAAAGATTGGAACTATCATCTCCGTCATAGTTTAAATTCTTAATCTGATCCTTTGGTATATTCCTAAACCAATCCTACAGGTCTTTGATGATTAACATGGGTATCTTAATCTTTTTTCTTTTTTAAGCCTAGGGTAAAATCAGTTAAGATTCCACACAGATAGTAAATTAACTGTGGCTACTGTACCTAACACAAAGTAGAAAAGTCTTTGTTATCATTTTTAACAAGGTATTATAATAGCAGCCGATGAGTAATTCACTCAACAGTTAAACGTATATGTAGCTGTGAAAAGATAAGAGATAATACCCTCTTATTTATTTATAACAGCTTATGCAAAAAGTTTTAAAAATACTTCTCTTAAATCAGAAAGAGTACTTTCCAAATGATTAAGCATATGGGTATTAACAAAACTATTACATTTGTAATAAATGTAGATAGATACACTTCTTATCAAAAACACAATGAATTCTACTTTCCTATTTTCAGAAAGAAAAAAAAAAGGATTCATACCTGAGCATTTGAATCAGTGAGTGTCTCAGTTCCAACAAGCGATAACTTATTCTGACACTTGATTTAAAAAGAAAAACAAGTCACACACTATAACCCACAATTTTCTTCCCCACCCTTTATACCAGTCAGCATTATATTCCTCTAAAACAACATACAATTATCTGATATAAGAGAAGAGTTTGTTTAAATTCCTCACTCCTTAAGCAAGAGGATCAGGAAGGCAGACAAACAAGTCTCTAAGTGAATATATTGAAAGTAAATAGGGATACTAGACTCTGTATAGAATAATATGAGCAAAATAAATAAGGAAAAAAACAACAAAAACTAATAGTTAATATGAATTAAAAGCTAGATAATGAGAAAATGGGGAATAAGACAGAAAGCACTGTAGAAAAATAACAGAAGAGGTAAGTAGTTAAGATCATAAGAAAATAAAACCTTCAGGACATTGTTTCTGTGCCATTAAAAAACTCCATAACCATTAATAGTGATTATATCTGAGTAAAACTATGGGTAATTTAAATTTTATTTGTGATTATTTCTATTTGCAGTCTCTACAAAAAACAATTTTATATTTTAAAATAAAATTTCTATACTGAAAAATATCAAAAGCAAAAAAAAAGGATTATAAAAATTACTTGAAAATACATTAACAATACAGAGTACCAAGGACTTATGTTAAAAAAAAAAAATTTTAGAAAAAGGAAAAAAAAAAAAAACAAAACACTAATTTGCCCTAATCTGAAACTTTACTAAGAACAGAATGTGAAACATGTCTGTGGCCTGTATCATACATTATGCTTTCTCAAGTAGAACAAATTTTTACCAACATATTGCAGTGTACCAGAAGTGATTCTATTTAACTAACTCAGAAAATGTACATATATTTCAAACAAGATTTTCTAAATTAATTCATATTTTCAGTCAAACTCCATCATTATGTGTTCTCCCAATTTCTATAGTCTCTGAGGAAATAACTCCACCAACCAACCACTGGCCCAAACCAAGAACCTGAAACTATCCATAACTCCTCCATTTCATGACTTCCAATTCCTTAATATCTCTTGAATCCATTCTATTTGCAAGGATTTGATCCTTCAGTACTTCTTACCAGGACTACTATTAGAGCCTCCTAAATGCTCTACCTGTAGCCTTTCTCTTCTGCATTCTATTTTCTTCAAAACCATGAGAATAATTTTCCCAAACTATATATCTTGTCAGGGCACTTTTTGTTTATCGTCCTCCCCATAGTATACACTCGATAAAATCTCCATATTCTTGCCCCTAATTACCTCTCTAGTCTCATTCCACAAGTCCTTCTCCTAATTACCATAAGTCAGAATATTCTACTTGGGATTCTCTAAACTCTCCCAACCTTTATATATTTTGTTCTGCTTTGTATACTTCTCTCACTTTTACTGGTTACTCCTATTTATCCCTTAGAAATAAATTCAGTAATTATCTTTTTTAGGACACTATCTTTGACCCCTTCAGTCTAGGTTTAGTCCTCCTCCTAAGTATAGTCTTTGCATCTCTACCACAATACTTCTAATATAACGGCTATTGCCTCCATTAAATGATAATCTCCTGGAGGGCAGGGACTACCATAGTTTTTTCTTTCTGTAGCTCATCTGGTATGAAGTTCCTTGAATAAATGTTTATAGAACTAAAAATTATATAAATACTTAAGATATAATGACTTTCAGAAATCAGCATAATTCCTTCCTAAGTCTATTATTAAAATAGAATTAAATCTTATAGTAATTAATTACTATATCATTTTTATCTTTTCATACTTACTTCTTCCATATCTTTCCACATTTCTTCACACTTTTTAATAAGTTCTTCTTTAGTATCTGCAACATCTTCTATATCTGTAGTACTATCCGGATCTAGATCTTGCTGTCTCACTGACATGTGTCTTGTGATTTTCTTAGCTTTATAAGAAAAACTAAAGTAAAAGATATTCATTCATTTAACAATATTTGTTGAAAATCTATTACCTGCCAGATACTAACCGAAGAGCTAAAGGTATAACAATCAACAAAATAGGTAAAAATCCCTCCTACCATGGAGCTTACATTCTAATTAAGGAAAACAAAATGCTTTTTAAAATAAATACTGAAGTATATCATATGATTTATAAGTGCCATGGAGAAAAGCATGCAGGGAAGAAACAGGGAATGCTAAAACTGAGGCAATATAATTTTAAATAAGGAGGTCATATAAAGTCACTGGGAAGTTAACAATTGAGCAAAACCATGAAGGAAATAAGAGCGTTAGACATGGGAATACTTAGGGGAAGAAGCTACAGGCAGAGAGAACTGTAAGTGCAAAAGTCTTAGGACAGGAATAGGACTGCCCGTTCCTAAAGCAGTAAAGCAGCCGCTGTGACTACAGCAGAGTATATAAAGTAGAGAACACAAAAGCAAGTCAGAGCGACAACAGCGATGTGATCATGTGGGCTTTCTAGCCACTTTAAGGACTTAGGCTGAGAAAATAAGCGTTTAGAGGAGCTTAAACAGAGGAATGACATGATTTGAATTATGTTTTAACAGTAAAATTCTGGTTAACTACAGCAAGTAAGGACAGATGTAGGAAAGCCAGTTAGAAAGCTATTATAATAATCCCAGCAATTATCCTAGACCAGAAAAATACTGAGGCAGTACAAAATGTCCAATTCTGAATATATTTTCAAGACTAAGCCAACAAGATTTTCTAATAGCCTGCGTATGGAGTGTCAAAGAAATAGAGGAGTCTATTATTACTAAAGAAAGTTTGGACCTAAGCAATTAGAAAGATGGAGTTGCTAGTTACTGAGATGGAGAAGATGGTGAAAAAAATAAATTTAGCAAGATGTGGGGGGATGCTAATTAAGAATTCAGTTTTGCAAACAAAAGCAAACTTATATATACAGACAAAGAATGATGGTTACCAGATGAGAAGAGGGTTGGGGAAAAGGCAAACTGGTAAAAGGGATCAAATATATGGTAACAGAAGGAAACTAGACTCTGGGTGTGATGAACACACAATACAGTATACAGATATCAAATTATATTGATGCACACCTGAAATTTATATGTTATTAACCAATGTAACCTCAACTAATTTAATTTTTTGAAAAAGAATTCAGTTTAGGACATGCTAAATTTAAAGTGTCTATTAATGGATCTGCTGATTAGGCAATTAAATATACCTGTCTGGAGTTCAAGGGAAATTTTCAAGCTAGAATTTGAGAGTCATCACTCTACAGAGCCTTGAGGCTGGATGAGATCAGAAAAGCAAGAGTGTACAGATTGAAATGAGAAAAGTTCTAGACCTGGAGAGACTGAGGAAATAAGGAAGAACCACCTAAATAATCTGAGAAAGAGTATCCAGTAAGGTAAGAGGAAAATCAAGAGTATATAATATCCTAAAATCCAAGGTAAGAAAGTGTGCAAGGAAGAAGAGATGAACTATGAAATACTAGAGTTAGGTCAAGTCAGATAAAAACAAAGAATTGACAATTCACTTAGCAATATGGATCGGGGACTTTATTTTCCAAAATAGTCATAGCAATATTTCAGGTTGTCACTCTCCAACCAGAGGCAGAGCCTATTTACTCTCCCCTTAAATCTGAACTTGAATTTCTGAACGTGTGACATAATCTTGCTAGATGACTGCTGCAAGTAGTAGTGGCTGATAGAGTCTGACAGCATGAGATTCGAATTTTAAGGATGTAGACAAAGCAATAAAAAACGATGAAGATGTCTACTTCATAACACCAAATCCAAACCAGTATAACCCGCCCCCTGAAAATATTTTTATTCATATGAAACTTGAGTTTTGTATCGCTTAATCAATTTTTTATCAACAGAGAAGTTATAAAGGAGACAAATAGAGAGTTATATCATATTCAGATTGGAGGACTCGATATTGTAAAGATGTTAATTCTCCCCAAAGTTGATCTATTGAATCTTTATCGAAATTCTGAAAGTTTTTGTTTTTGTGGCACTTGTCAAGCTGATTCTAAATTTTATATGAAAGTGCAAAGAGCCAAAAACAACAAAGACCGAAGAATAAGATGGGAAGACTTACCTAACCAGATGTTAAACTTATTATATCATGATAGTGCAGAATTAGCACATGATTAGGCAAATTAAACAATGCAACACAATACAAAGCCCACCTAGACTTACACATTTATGGAACTATGAAATATGACAGGTGGCAATGCAAATTAAGGGGAAAGAAGAACAATACAAATAGGAGCATATTTTATATACTATACTATTTTTTTTCATGTATTTTGGCCCATATAGACCCCCTCATTCTTTTTAACAAAGCTGCATAGTATTTAAGGGGGGAGGGAAATAAGACTAAATATATACCTCAATCTTTATACCACTCCTCCATCCCTCAAAAAATCCAAACAGAAATCATAAAAAGGAAGAGGAAAAACATGGAAATAGGAAAGGCCTTTATCTTGGAATAGAAAAGGCCTTTCTAAACAAAACTAAGCAAAATCTCCACATAAAATTTTTAAGTTGACAGCCATGCTACCCTGAACAAGCCTGATTCCATCTGATCTTGGAAGCTAAGCAGGGTCAGGCCTAGTTAGTACTTGGATGAGAGACAACCTAGGAAGACCAGGTGCTGCAGGAGTAAAAAATAAAAAAAATTAAGGGATTGTAAACTGACAAGGTCCTTGTAATCTGTGGGGTCAATCGAGGGTTGCCTCACCTAAAAAATAAAGAAATAAAATTTTTAAAACTTCTGCATGAACAATCATTAAAAAGTCAAAATTTAAAACCCAAAAACCTAAGAAAAATATGTATAATTTATAGGGCATCAAGACCTAATTTCCTTAATGTATGAGTGCCTACAAATTAATTTTAAAAAACCATTAAAAAACTAAAAAAGTGATCACTACAAATGTCAGGAGGATATCAATTACTTTCAGAAAGAGGGAGGAAGAAGAAGACTGTCATTGGGATGGGCCAAATGGAAAGACTTCTGAGGTAATTATCAAACTTTTACTTCTTGATATGCATAGTGATAAAGATATTGATTGACCTTATAATAATTTATAAATTTTATATTTATTTCATGTGGGTTTTTTGTATCTGTATTGTATTTTATAATAAAATGGTAAACAATCCAATAGAAATGGGCAAATGACACAAAAAAAAGAAAAACTGAGAAATATCTTTTAAATACAAAAAAAAGCATTCTTAATCTAGTCGTAACTCAAAAAAACAAATTAAATAAGTTATTTTTCATTCAGAGTAGCAATAATGAAAAATTTGGTAAGAAACAATATTGACAAGAGTATAGAACAAGAGGCAAGCACTGTTGGTAGACCAATTACTTTGTAGGATAATAAGCAACATCTATCAAAATTTTAAATGCATTTATTTATCTTTTGACTTAGGAAATTCTACTCCTAAGAATAATCCTACAAATAGATATATTTGCATATACAGGTATGCTTACTGCGGCATTATCTATAAAACACATTGTAAGTGTGAATTCTATAATCAGACTGTCTAGGTTTAAAATCTGGGTTTAATACTTACAAGCCGTGTGACTTTGGGCAAGTCACTTAATCTGTCTGTGCCTCGGTTTATCTGTAAAATGAAGACAGTAATATTACTTACCCCGTAAGGTTGTTATGACAATTAAATGAGTTAATATACGTAAAACTCTTAGAACTGTGCCTAGCATATAAAGAGCTATCTCAGTATGGTTATCAACATTACTATTAATTTGACTAGAAAAAGACTGGTTAAATAACCTGTGCCATATCTAAAAATGTTTACACCAAACATCTTCCTTGCTAGACACGAAAGATACAGTTAAGTTCACAAAGCCATAAATAGTCATCAACAATTTTTAAATATTTTTAAGCAAAAAAGTCAAATATTATGTAAATGTTTTACATATACCTCAACTTAGAAATTACATGCAAATTGATCTTTCTTTACTTTGTAGACTACTAACCAATGAAATACATTATCAGTATGCCAAAGTAATGCCAAACTGTGTGCATGAGTATGTAGATAGGTACTCAATAACTGAGCTGGAGTGACAGTTCAATGGAGCATTAGAATACAAATAAATAAAAATGTTTTTAAGTGTTTAACTTTATCTCTTTCCCACATTTTGTATCCTTAAATCTACCTTTCTGGAAACAGAACAAGTCAACCTTTCAAGGTGTTCAGTCAGAGGTACTCTAATTGCCAATTATTTATTGAAGAACCATACTGCTATATTTGGGGATACTATCCCATACAAATTTTAAAAATCTAATAGTAAATTTAAAAAGTCCATACTATTATTGGAAAAAGGACTAATATACATAAAATAAAATAATAAAAGGTACTCATACAATTCTATACTACATTCATTTATCCAACAAACATGTTTTTAACGTGTGCCATTTGTCAGACACCGTGGCTATAGCTGGGTAGGTGAAAAAGTCTGTCTTCACGGAGCTTACATTTTCACCGAGGAGAGCCAATATAAACGAATGAACAACTAAATATCTAATATGATTTCAAGTAGTTAGAAATGCTATGATGTGGTAAATTATACCATACAGACTGCTCATGCTTTCAGAATTCAGAATAGAGACGATTAGAGAAATCTACCTGGAAGAATAAGCGGCTTCTTAGTACAGTGCTTGGTACATAGTATTAGCTTACTACTCGTTATCATTTTCATCCTTATTCTCATTCTTTTGTCTAACGGATGAGAAGCGGTAAAGGTGAAGGCTAGATTTGCTGTGGAGATGCTTTCAAAGCATAAAAACATAAAACTGGAAAGCAAGGACGAGCATGGCAAATTCAGGAGACATACACGAAAAGGGTACTCTGATTAGAGAAGGCGGCAGAGAAAAAAAATGAGACTTGCTAGGTAGGATGGGCCAAATAATGGGAGTCATTAAAATTAAAAACCGAAAAAAAAAATCTTTAAAAAGTGTTCGTTATGTATCTGGTGTCTACCTCAAAGCAAAGCAAAGATTTATCTGGTTTGAAATAGGCAACCAGGAAGTTGCTGAGTATTGTTTTGAAAGCAGTGTTTTAGGAAGATCATTTTGACCAGCTATATTTAACGGATAAAAAGACGATAAATTTTGTTAGGTTTTTCTTTTTTTTTTTTTTTTTTTTTTAAAGAAGAGAGCTGAAAGCCAGAAGGCCGCTAAGAGATGGATGCCTAGACCTGGGTGAAGGCATGAGTGAATGGTCCCACCGTGGGCTACTTAGATTTCTTGGTATGGCTGGATCTCTCCCCCGAAAAGTTACAAGCGCTAACCACTGTCTTCAGAGAGTGTGTGAGAGACCCAAGATGCTTAGGGAAGAAGAGATGTTTGGGGCACTTAAGGGAGGAGGCCCAGTTAACCAGTTCCTTCAAATCTCCACCCGTCTTTCACTCCTAACCTGCTGGGTTCTAGAGCCGGAGAAGAGCGGCACTCAAGGCCCGGCTGGACGTTGGCTATCCAGTCCCCCAGAGGTAAGGGTCTCACCAATGTGGCTGCAGCTCTACATCCTGGGAGATGCCAACCCCAGTGACAAATGCAAACCGTTACGGCGCTGCCCCCCTGCCCATTTCTTACCACTACGGAGCCACAAACTTCCAGAACCCCTTGGCCTACTGTAAACAAGCCTTCCCGGCCCAGGACCCGTGCGCGCCTTGCTTGCTGATTGGATCCACCGCAGCCAATCCCGAAACTCGCTCAGCCGCTTACGCAAAGGCTGCGCCACTGCCTTGCGATTGGTTGCAGGGCGGTGTGTGTCGCGCCTGTCCTGACGATTCGGTCAACATGGCGGCGGAAGGTGCTAGTGATTCACAGCTAAGAAGAAGAAGGCGCCGAGACCCGGAGGAACCGGAAAAAACGGAACTCAGAGAAAGAGAGCTGGCAGTGGCAGTAGCAGTGGCCCAAGAGAACGAAGAAGATAATGAAGAGCGCTGGGTTGGGCCTTTACCTGTAGAGGCAGCATTGGCTAAGAAGAAGAAAGGTAGCTACAGAGATAGGCACAGGGAGAGTTGGAATGCTGCGAGTCACGAGTGGGAAAGTTCAAGCCAGAACCGAAAACGGATCGTGTGTGTTTGTGGGGTTTTGTGCCCTCAGAACACAGGGTCGGGTCATCTTCGCATTTCTGGGCACTCTACTTAATACATCTTCCCGAAATAGCGATGTGCGCGCAGCACGGCGTCTTTTGATAATATCAAACAGTATTAATCACTGATAATGTTACAATAGATGCTGTTGCTTTCTTATGCCAAGATTTACTATGTGCTCGGTACCTATCATTTAATCCTTCAAGCAGCTATATAAGGTTGAATTTCTAACTCCGTTTAGGGGATGTACTGGTTCTCTTTAAGGCTTTTAGTTGAGTGGTTTTAGTGTGTTGGGACTCGAGGAGTTGGCGATGTCTATTTAGAAGTGTAAAGTGTAGGTAAAGATAATTTCCACCCTGACTCTTCTACTAATGATTTTCTGACCCGGAGAAGGTTCCGTAAGTTTCCTGGATCATACGTTTTTCATTTAAAACCCAAGGTCTGTGGTTTTCAAACCATACTCGTTACGTACCATGGCATGAAGCATTTTGCCATTAACGTGGGATAGTGACAAAAATTTTATCAAATAAAAGGAATGAAGGGATAGATTAAATTTTGTTTTTCAGGTTCTATGAAATGTTTACGTTCAACGTTTGAGACCATTAAAATGTGATTTGAAAGCTCAAATCTCACTTTATCACTCTCCCTACTTAACTCTTTAGTGATTTCTCATTATTTTCAAAACAAAGTTCAGACTCCCTAATGTAGCTATAACGCCTTTGGTGATATCATCTTTCCATATCTAACCAGCATACTGGCATATTTTCCTTTCCTAACCCCTTGTCATTTCTGCTCTGCGCTCCACCCATACTAAAATACTTGAGACTGGGCCATACCCTTTTTCTTCTCTGCACGACTGTTGGGCTATCATGGTGTCTCTCTACCTGGAATAATTACCTTCACTACTTTCACTAGACTAACTTTTCAGACTTTAGCACTCAGCTCAGCTATCGCCTTCTCTAGGAAGCTTGTGACTTCTCCAGTCTGGGCTGGGTTTCTAAGCACATTAAGAATAACAGGTAATGTTTATCATACTGAATTTACAGGTAGCCTTCAAATTTTATATATCCAAATTTTGAAGAAGCTACTTTTTGAACCTTGGACATTCACACCCTTAAAGTGCATTACCTATTTTTACTGCCAGGTCTTCCTCATAAATGTTTCCATAGCAACTTTTTTCTTGTTTCACTTGCTACATTTTGAAATTGTATATTTATTCATGCCATTATCTCACTTATGTTTCCACTGTTAGGACTGTTAGCGTATAAGAGCAAGTTTTTCTCCAGTGCTTGGTAAAGTGCTTTGCATATAGCAGGTACTCAATAAGTATTTATTGAGTGAATGAATATTACAGTATTTATGCTTTGATTATTTTATTGAATTAGGGTATTTTTGCATATTTTATTTTATGGAGATAAGTGGAGGATGGGAAAATACAAAAATATTAAATATTTAACATATTCTTTGGACACTGGATTGTGTATACATTTTCAGAATCTTTAAACTGATGGGTTCTCAAGGACAGGAACTATGTGTTACTCTCTTTTATACTCCTGTGCCTTGTTTTGTTTTCGATAAGTTTCTGTTGAACAAGTGAACTAATAGCAAGAGGAATGTGTATCAGATAGGATTAAATTTAACTGCATATTACAGAAAAACCCCAAATGGCAATAACATTAAAAGACTGAGCTATATTTCTCTCATGTGTAAAGAAGTCCCAAAGTAGTCCAGGATTGGTATGTAGGCTCCAAAGAAACTTAGGCTGTTTCCAGCTTTCTGCCCTAATATCACTAGGGTATGGCCCTCATTTTCGTCCTGAGTGGTCATTAGAACTACAGGGCTCATATCCCAGTTCCAGGCTATAGGACTGAGGAAGAAAAGAAAGGCACACTTTTTCAAGGAGACTTCTTTAATGTCACACACTTCCACTTTTATCTCACTGACACATGGCCACACCAAACTGCAGGAAAAGATGAAAAGGGCCAATATGCCCCCCAAATGGAGAATATTTTACTAAAAATGAAGGGAAAAGTAGTTTATCACACACAGCTTTGAGTCTGTTATATAGTTATAAAAACTGAAATAGCTCATCAAAAGCAATTTAGCAACTTTTTATAGGCATATTTGGCCATTGTTGGATTATTTTATTAAGTCCACATGTAATGTAATCTTTTTTTACTGGTAAACTTTTTTATAGCTCACATAATGAAATCAGTATTTCCTCAGATTACCACTCTTACAGATGGTTTGTCTCTGGAAAAAACTTGAGAAGCACTCAACTGGATAGTCTCTAGGATTTCCTCAGCTCTAAAAAATGGAGTATCAGTGACTTCAAAGGGGATCATTGTCTTAAAGATAAACTGAGACATCTTTTAAATGACTACTAGTCTCTTACTACTTTTTAAAATTAACACTAATAATTGGATCTACATGATTAGAAAGATGGTTGCGATGTTTTTATGAAGCTTTTTAAGGTTTTTGGTTTTGTTTTTGAATGGAATCTTCATGTTAAGCCAACCACTCAATTCCTAAGTTCTAGAGACAGTTAAGCATCTGTATTATACTTGAGAACTTGTCTTGACTGACTAAATAATAATGCTATTCAGTATGTGCAATAATAAAAGTTAAACTGAAATAGTAGACAATTTTTATTTTCATTACATATGAAACTGGCAGAAATTAAAATCTAGATGAAAATAAAGTAGAATGTAGAAAATTGTAAATAAAGAAAATACAAAATAATATATAGTTCCAGTTGTTAAAAATACTTTTTTTCTTTATTTTCTCAGTTCTAGAGTTTGAAAGAGTCTATCTCGATAATCTCCCCAGTGCATCCATGTATGAGCGCAGTTACATGCATAGAGATGTTATCACCCATGTAGTGTGTACCAAGTAAGTTTATCACATCTTTTTTATTTTTATTTATTTATTTATTTGTTTGTTTTTATGGTGGCATTGGTTAACAAAATCCAATAAGTTTCAGCTGTACATTTTAACAGTAAGGCATAAATATATTTACACTGTGTGTTCACCTTCCATAGTTAGATTTCTTTCTGTCACCATATATTTGACCCCCTTTACCCCGTCTATCTCTCCCATTCTCCCTTCCCCCTACCCTCTGGTAACTACTAATCTATTGTCCATGTCCATGAGTCTCTGTGTTTTCAACTTTTTCTGTCTGACTCAATTCGCTTAGCATGATTATCTCAAAGTCTGTCCATGTTGTTGCAAATGGCAATATTTCATCTCCTTATGGCTGTGTAATATTCCATTAAATGTATGTACCACAGCTTCTTTATACAGTCATCTATCATAGGACATTTTAGTTGCTTCCATATCCTGGCCACTGGGAATAATGCTGCTATGAATATTGGTGTGCAAATATCTTTTCAGACATGAGTTTTCAAGTCTTTGGGGTAAATACTCAGTAGAGGAATTGCTCGATCATATAGTAGATCAGTTCTTAGTTTTTTGAGGAACCTCCATACCGTTTTCCATAGCGGCTGTACTGATTTGCAGTCCCACCAGCAGTGTATGAGGGTTCCTTTTTCTCTGCATCCTCTCCAACATTTATTTCTTGTCCTGTTGATCATAGCCATTCTAACAGGTGTGAGATGGTATCTCATTGTCTTTTTTATTTTTTTATGAGACTTGTTTTTAATGCTTCAGTTTTGAGGTGGACTTGTAGAAGTGACTTTACATAGGATATTATGGCTTTAATTCCATAGGTTCTGTAAAGTTTAAGTTAAAGGCCTACATGTTCTTTAATATATCATACAAGGAGTGCATTCTCTAAGAATTCTAGTTTGTGTATATGTCTTTTGGAGATAAATGCCAAAAGGGGATGAACCAGGTAGTGTCTGAGCTTCCCAGAAAAAAAAAGTATATTAAGATAGGAGTAATTGATAGCTAGCCTCTTTAGTACTAATGGGGAAAATGATGAGAACTAAGATATCTTTAAAATGTCACAGCACCTTCCCAATAGATGAATGGGGATTTGGAGAAGGATAATAATAATAGTAATATTCTAGTATACGTTAAGCTCATATTGTGTCCAATACTGTTCTAAAGCTTTTTTTTAAATAGTCAAAAGGAAAATTTATTAAAAAAGGGATAACACTTCACAGAGTGTGGTCTCAGAGGCAGAGAGTGAGAGGGACAGTGAGGGAAACAGTGAGAGACAGAGTAAAGGCACTGAGAGGGACTCAGAGGGACAGAGACAATAGAGATGAGGACAGTGAGAGAGATAGTAAAGGCATTGAGAGGGACCTAAAGCTTTTTTATAAATTATCTCATGTATCTTAACAATCTTATGAGATAATAATCTGCATTTTATAAGTAAGAAAATAGGTTCAGATAGGTTAAATGGCAGCAGAAGCTGGAGAAAAAATACAAGGACTATATCCCAGAGAGTTTTCTATTTCTTATGTGGATTTTGAACCTGTAATCAGAATAACATCAGATTTATTTTTGTTAAG